CCAAGAAGGTCACGGTTCCTCTGGAGGAGCTGCATCGTTTACAAACCTGGAGGCGACTAAATGTGATCTAGCCTGATGAGGACATTATTAAATGTTTCTATTAGATATGGAGATAAAGTCCCACTGAACGCCACCCTGGATCCATCAAGGGGTAGGGATGCTCTACTTCGACCTTTCAGAAGAACGATGACACGTCCTCAAAAACATAGATGTAAATATTTCTGTTTCTAGACAAGCAAGGCAGATCTACCTAGAAGATAAACTCATTATAATTTAAAGGAAAAGTCCAATCAGCAAGGAATAATCAATGGATCATTATTTATACCTAAAACTAATACGTTTGTAGTGGTTCAATTAATTTTGTAACAATCACTAGGTCCGGGAGCGGCCATTTTTGCCCAAATATAGTAACCCCTCCCTCCTGCCATCTTCCAGCAGTGACGTCACGGTGCGGTAAGCCTAGCGCCATTCTCCCCACTTTACAAGCAAAATCAATGGGAACTACTAGACACATCTGCAATCAACAACAGTTATTGAAGATTTCCAGAGGACTTCCCCATTGAAATTCACCAGAGCTATAGTTAAGAGTTAGAAACTCTGCACAGTAATCTATGATCAGTGAGGGGAAGGTGAGGCAGAGTGCGGTGATTGCTGCTCAGAGTGGAGATGAAGTGGTTCTGGTAGCAGCTAATCTGCACAGTGACAGCACCTGTCCTTTGTTAAGCTGATATCCAAGTGTTGAACATTTGACTATGAAAGGTGGATTGAACCTCTGGTGGCAGCTGAACCACCAGATCACTGCGTTGGTTACTTCCCATCATGATGACAACTACATGACTTCAAACAAAACTCAAGTCTTTCTGGATGCTGGACCATTCAATCTCAGAGTGGCCCTGAGCACCACACTACATCAACAGTCGTCCTGTAAAATCAACTGTTTGCCAAAGGTTTGGGATAAGAATTTTGTTGAAACATTATTGGGTTTCTATGCTATAAGGGTTTCTACAGCCGTTTCTGCAGCAACATCTGAATGTATCAAAGAGAAATATCCTCCAGGCCAAAGGCCTGTTAAAAGCAGCTAATTATCAGGAAGAGCCAGAGAACACCTGACAAAGCAAGGAGATTTTAAAAGAAGAGCAGATTATGATTCTGGTCCTCTTCTGTTTCTGCTTTGAGGGTTGTATGCAGTGCAACCCACATCATAAGGAAACAAAACAAAAAGAGTTGAAGTGCCTCCCCAATCCAAAACATAAATATCTAAAAACACAGCAAACTGCTGATTATTTATTCTGGCCAAACTGGTCTGGTAGAAACTCCATAGCGTGATCGCTGATGTTTGTGGTGCCGGAGGGGCTAACAGTCAGAAGCAGACAGCTGGGACACCTCTATGTACTAAACTGGCAGCTTCTGACGCACGCTGACAGTTTACACACTCATTTCCTGCTCTTTTCGCTCCCTTACAGCCAGGTTTTAGCAAACAGCAACCTGCCACAGCACATCAGCTTTTGGCAAGAGGAGACTAGATCTGGCAGCTCTGGCGATCCAGACCAGCTGATCGACAATCATCTCCTTGTAGCATCAACTTTTATTTTCCTTCTCACAGGCATTTCCCTCATTTGCCTTTTTTTTTATTAACAACAAAACAGGATGCTAAATGGGTTGATGAGCACAGAGAGAAAATATAAAATACTTACAATGCCTTTGCAAATATCATGATTTGTCATCCTAAAACCAAAAATATATATTCAGCTGTGACTTTAAAGGAAAAGTCCAGTTAGCAATAGATCATTGTTTATACCTAAAACTAATAAATTTGAAGTGATTTAATGAATATAGCCCTAATCAGAAAAAAAATAAAAATAAAAGCCATTTTTGTCCAAATATAGTAACCCCTCCCTCCTGCCATCTTCCAGCAGTGAATTCAAGACTTTTTATGACTTTTTAATGCCACTTGAAATAAAAATTTAAGACCAAATTCACAAGAAACACAAGATAAACCTTTAGGTTAAGTTGTCGCAAGCAGGTTTTTCTTAACATAAACCACTGCACTGTTTCAAATTTTGAAAAGCTTCCCATACAGGAAGAAAGCTAAAAACACACAAATGAAAGATATATTTTAACAATTATTTAACTGAATTCACAAACTTTGTTTTAGCAGGGAACAAAACAAATACGTTTTAAAGCCACAACATAACCAAGTCTTTTTTGCAGCTATTTTTCTTTGTATGGTTTTCTTAGTATGTTTGATTTGGTGATAAGTGGAGGCGCTGCAGAGACAAGGGTGGAACAAAACTGAGAAATACCGGCTGTTTCTCTGTAACTCCATTTTTACGCTTTGTGTTTCGTGCTTCGCATGTGCGACTACACTGCCTTAATTCCCATCGTTCTGAGCTTGAATGACTTCTTGCACAAAATACACTGAGCCTCATGTATGTTCCCTGGTTTTAGACATGGAGAAAACTCTTGGCTGGAGCCAATTTTACACTTGCTCATATTTTCCAGACAAAAAGGTAAAGGTGCAAATCCTAAATGTCCGGGCCGCAACAACGCTTTTATTGGTTCCGCTATCGGGACGAACCAATAATGGCGAGCCGTTATTTTTTTTTAAATAATAAAAATAAATTGTAAATTTTAACATTTTATTTAGATTACAAAAATAAATCATAATAAAAATAATCCTATTTATGATGTTTTAAAAATTAAGACCAATGAAAGACTGATTTAAGACATTTTAATACCAATTAAGGCCTTAGTTTTATTTTGAAGAATTCAATGCCTTTTAAGACTTTTTAAGGACCCGCAGAAACCCTATACTAGACACATCTGCAATCAACAACAATTATTGAAGATTTCCAGAGGACTTCACCATTGAAATTCACCAGAGCTATAGTGCAAGTTATTTCCCCTTTCTGATTCCTGATCCTCCACGGACGGGTTGGTCGTTGGATTGCCAACTTGAAGAGGGACGATTTGCCATCAAACTTCTGGCCAGATAAAAAACACGTAATATGTAGCCAACATTTGGAAGAAGAATGTTTTCAAGATGACTTGGATAATAGCGCGTTGTGACAAACACCAGATACAGCACTGGAACTTGATCAACAGCCAATACCGCACCGTGACGTCACAAACCAGTAGGTGGCAGTAGTGTTCTTTGACAAACATGGATGCCTCCAATAAAGCACATTAAAATAAAAATGACTCTTAATTAAAAACACTGATCATTTATTGAACAGGATGTAATAATCTCAGAGTTAAAGGACTTTCAGAAGTTTGAATTCTGAATATCACCGGACTTCTCCTTTAAGGTAGACCAAGAAGAAGAGCATATAGATGTGGAAGGAAAAAAAAATCCAATGTTTTAAACCTTTTTTTTTTTTTTTTTTTTTTTTTTTACAAATAAAAATCTGTTGTAGGCCTGCTATGGATCTCTGGTTTGGTTTCAGCAGCTTTTCCAGAGTCACTGTGGGCTGAAGCAAAGATTAATGTGTTGTAGGAGGAGGCTCGCATCTTGATTGGGTTGTGCCAGATTGTTTTCCAACTTCTGCTAATGCATTAAAAGAGGGTGAAATGAAACAGTCAAAGCTCGGGATAAAGATTTCAAACCCAACCCTCTTCTATTCTTGGCCGACCTATTTGCTGAACTTTTTGGTCGTCATGATGATCATTGTCAACTCAGCCCTTTTCTGATTACTGGAGTTACAATGAGATTTAATTACACAAAGTATAGCTCACTAATGTTCATGTAGCAGATCATTTTAACAGCTGGACTCATTTTAACAGATAAACATAATCTGAAGGCATCTGGTTGCACTGTTTTTATTTAGGAGCATAATTGTTAAGGGGGGTGAAATACAGGTTTAGTAAAAACAAATCCGTATTTTGAGCAAAACGCTTCTTTATTTAGAAAAAGGGTGATCACGAAGTGAAATAATATGGACGATGTGGTGAAGAAGAGATTGAAATCTACATTGGAGAAGGAGGATGAAAGATGGAGTCTGTAAAGTTTAGTACGAATAAAACAAGACGGGAAAATGGCCGCCTGACTGCGGTACAGCAACACTTCTCTTCACCTTTAAGGAAGCTAATCCAACAAAGCTCCATGTTTACTGTCAGGGTCAAAAATATGGTGCTACTCAAAGCGATATTTAGACTTTTAAAGGTGTCAAACAGGATTAATTTTACTAAAAGAACAGGAAGACCTTATTGAGGCCTAGCATGCTAATGCTAATGCATGCTTTCATGAAAGCTGGAGAAAACAGATTTTAATGTCAGCTTCTTTTGTTTCCCCTGCATTTCTGCTGCATTATCCTTCTTCTGTTAGTATGGTTGACTTTGATGCTAGCGCTCTTTATCACGGCCGTCACCAGAAGGCCCTGACTTGAAAATCAAAGTCGGTTTGAACCGACATTTTCTGCGTCTGATTGCTCTGCAGTGCTTTCAGAGCTCCTCACTATTCAGACAGATGTTCATTTTGACCAGAGCAACATGTGAAGAACAACCACAGGCGGGTCGCTCCTTTACTCCACCAGCTTCATTTATCACAAACACAAAAGCATTTCTGAGCAGTTTGTAACAGAAGCAGGAGGGAAATTAATCCGCTGACATCAGGCTATCCAGGGAGCTGGAGGCTACCCGAGCACACATGCTTAAAAACTAAAGATTAAGTCTAACCTTGTCAAAAAATAACAATAGGAAAAGAAAAAAAAATAGGTTCAGGAAAGGAAAGAAAAGCAGAAACATTGGAAAATAAATAATGAAAAAAGAAAGTAGTAAAATGAAGCATGGTGAGGTGAGGAGGAGAGGAGAGGAGAGGAGAGGAGAGGAGAGGAGAGGAGAGGAGAGGAGAGGAGAGGAGAGGAGAGGAGAGGAGAGGAGAGGAGAGGAGAGGAGAGGAGAGGAGAGGAGAGGAGAGGAGAGGAGAGGAGAGGAGAGGAGCTTTGATTCTGGGTCACATGACCTCTGCCTCTGAGTACTCCTGAAAGCAGTGAATCTTTTACCTGCTCCAGCTTGAAGATGTGTTGGTTGAAGTAGTGTTGGAGACGCTCGTTAGCGAAGTTGATGCAGAACTGTTCAAAGCTGTTGTTCTCGTAGTCCTCAAAGCCAAAGATGTCCAGCACTCCTATGGAGAGGAGCTGGAGGGAAAATACAAACAGCGTTTTATTTCCACCTGCTTTTATAGGACATGTAGTATAAAAACACAACATAAAACACCAACGTTGCAGCAGCTCTGTGGACGTCACACATATTTGCTGTGCTTTATGATCCTCTGCTCATTTTTATGTGGACAGTTTTTAATGGTGCCTGTCTTTCTTTTCCTGGCAGCCCTGGGTCTGCAGTTCGCTCTGTGGATGTTGCTTACATTCATACAGTCATTCATCTTTCCTACGCACCACCTCCAGGAGGCAGTCGCTCAGCAAACGCCTTTAATTATGAAATGGACTACATAAGCTGTTTCCAATATCATTTCACTCACTTTAATCCCGTTTTATTCACTTCCTGCCCGTTTTATTCCTCTCCAAGGGGCAGTTTTTTTTATTTATTTCACCGTAAACACACATGAACGCAGGTGGAAAACGTAAACTCAACAGGAGAACAGTGACCTTGATACAAAGTGCAACCTGGTTGGCCCCAGATGATGTCAGCGCTGAGGCTGACGTACAGTGGGACATTAGACGGCTTTAGGGAGTAACATGAGCTGAGAGGAACTGGATGCCATCTGCCAAAACGCTCCTGGCACAGACAGATGAACGCATACACCCCCCACCCCCCCAACAAACACACCCAGCTTCTAATTTGTGAGATGCTCCCATTGGGCACAACTTGCCAGCTGCCAATCTAACACACCCACTGTCCAAAGAGGATGATGAAAGACTAGAGAAGCAACAATAGACAGAGGGATGAAGCATGTAGGCTTGCTGCTTGTGTCTGGAGGTAGATTTTACAGCCCAGACTACAGCTCCTCTTCATAATCTAAAGTAGACGATGATGCAAAACACTTTGGAAGTGCGGCTTTGGTCCTGAAAGTTGAGTGGCTTTATCTACGTCTTGTCCAATTTCCCGTGTCTTATTATTCATGTTCCAGTGAATAATCCGAAGCTTTTAATCTACATTAAACTAAAGTGAGCGGAAAAGTATTGCTGCTTTCACTTAGTGAGAGCGAACCGTGTTCCAAGGCTGATGCTGCAGAGATGCATCCATTTACCATTAGAAGATCCAAGTCTTGATGCCTTAGCCACAGTAGCTGGGCTTCCATTGGCCATTAAATCCTGCAAAATTTTACTTTTAAAAATAAACAAAAAAAATCTCTCCAGGAAGGATGATGCTGCTGTGTATTTGGTTGAGTTATCGAGTGAACAAACTTATTAACATGATTTTTTGTGTATCTTATTTAACTGAAAGACAAAAGATGAATCTGTCTTTCAGTTAAATAAGATAACCTTGTGATGTAGATGTAGCCAGCTTGTTCCTGACCCTACCTTGGACTTGTCCTCCAGGTCCTTGTTGTTGAGCAGAGCGTGGTTCGTCCTGAAAACGATCCAGTCGAACAGTGCGCTGTACAGAGACTTGGCCATCGAGTCTCTCACCGTATTGGCCTGAAAACGGATTAAAAACAAGCATTGCAGAGGATCAACGCTGATAAAAAACAAACAACAAAATAGTATCCAGTGAACTATTTTGTAAGATTTGCAGCTCTAAATATAGGGCTAAAAGACAAAACAATTACTTTCAAATATTATGCAAATTTTTTGGGGTTGGCATTGGATTATAAAAGATAAAAGATATTGTTTACATTAAATTACGTTAAAAATACTAGTAATTCATCAGAAAAATGATATCAAGATTCGTCTTACTTTGGTTGCACTTCTATTACAATATAACTAAGACATCTAAATACTTCAGCAAAAGCACCAACCGTAGGAATCATCAATCATTAATTGATAAATCCTGTATTAAAAAAGATAAACAGGATTATCAGCAAACAGGATATCCTGCTACCTAACTCCAAACATTCCATCCTGACAGAAACCAGAAAGCTTTGTTCCTTTAAAGTCCAGTTTCTTTTCATGATGGATCAACTCATTACTATGGAAGCTGAGAGCGGTCGTACTCGACTTTTTTTTTCTTCCTTTGCCTTCCTAAGATAATGACGTAACTATCTCGTTATCACGGTTACGTCATTAATTGTTTTCCTGAGATACCAAGATAATTATCTCGTTATCACGAGAAAAGAGTTATCGATTCCTTGAGCTAACGAGATGATTAACCTGTATGAGTAATGAATGAGGCTGACAAAATGCCCTGGATTCCCAGTCCATCCGTGCCTGCGGGGCCCATAGCGCAGTAGTGGCACTGCATGTGCGCAAATAATCCGCTTTTTTTTGTGTTCTTTTTCTTTTCACTCATTGTCAGGTTATGGTGGATGATTGGATTCCATGGAATACAGTAGAAACAAACCAGACTTTTTTAATGAAAATCTTTAACCTGGGCTAATTTTTGGGGTTCAATGCATGTTATACCTGTTACAGGCGAAACAGCGGGGCTGTTGAGAAAACACCTGGAGGCATAGGTCTAATTGCTTAGGAATCAGAAGTGGAAGCAAATCAAGAAACAAACAACATTGTCTTGCTACCTAAAAGTTAAACACGGGATTATTTACAGAATGACACATAGGCTGCCATGACTCATATTTATAAATCCTCTCCTGCTGTTGTGGTATTAAAAGGATGTAATCAGTTTAAACACACCAATCATCTCGTTATCACAAGAAAACAGCTTTCTTTAGCTTTAGCTAATGAGAAAATTAACTTTTCTCGAGAAAACCACCGTGAAAGTATCGGAGGGACATGACCGCTTTGGGCTTCCGTAGATTACTGTGCTGCTTTATGAACCAACAACAACAAACAAACAACCAGGAAAACAATCAATATTCATACCGAACTGTTTAGACTTCAACACAAACAGTGTCTGAGTCTGAGCGATTATTCCTGTAACAGTTTTTGAACAAACTGTCACAGAAGAATAAGACAGACAGATTAATCAATCAGATCCGACTAAATGCACATTATCATCTCTCTTCCTGGGAAATGAATCAGCACCATAATCATGACTTAGCTGAGGGCAGAAGTTATGTCAAAGTGACCACAGCAGCTGAGTTCAACTAAACCGACTGGATGCTGGAAAGAAGCAGTTTGAAGAAAAGCTGTAGAAGTTGTTCTTCATGACTACTGACATTACTGCACTGGATACTTTCTCTGTTTACACAAGTTAAAACAAAAAAGAAGGTAGTTTTATTTATTTTTTTAAAGTTGTTGTTATAGGGACTGTGGCAAAGGTCGAAGGGCTAGAACCAATCACTGGCCTCTGTAGGAGGCGTTGCTTAAGTTTTCTTTTTAATGAAAAAAGGAGCTAAAATGCTGACCTGAAATAAATGACAAAAACTCAACCTATGTTTAGAGAAGGTTTGATATTTGCACATCTTTTATTTAGCTATGACCAGTTAGAAATATATATTCTAAAACTATATTAAATCTAAAGTGTGCTTTGGAATTAGGATTAGTTACATCTGGGGTCCAATAATCCTGAGGCCTGTTGTTTTCAGACTTAGATGCTTGGTTGTAAAAATCTTTACTTAGAATTAAAACTAAACCAAAGTTTCCTATTTTCTGGAACTAATTTTCTTGTATGATTATGAGTCTAAAAGAGGGATTTAAAAAAACTGAGATTTCTTATTCAACCCTGAGAAGTCATGAGTAATATGAAAAATCCCAGTCATGTTGTATTACTCCCTGTAACTCCATTAAAGATGCAGTGCAGGTGCACCAACTTTGAATGACTCACAGAAACTCAGCCAGCTGAGGTCAAAGCAGCCAGCTGCCATGATGAAGAAAGACTGCACTTCTAAAAGCAGCCTTTTGCATTATTGATTGATTCAGATATTTTTAGTAGTGAGGGCTCTGACGTCTCTGAACCATCACTGTTATGCAAGAACGATGTAAATGATTTAATGCTAAATCAAAAGAATCTCATTTTAAATGCCACAATGGGCCTCCAGCATCGGTAGATTGGATGTGGCACAATGCATCTAGGCAGCTGCAATTAGTGCCACGATGATGTGCACTAGATGCACGCTCAGTGAGCATGTACCATCTCTGTGTTTTCCCATGTAATTTAATTATTCAACACAATGAAAACATCTTTGTAGTTGGAAGTAGCAAGGCTGGAAACAGATGGGTTTAAAATATGCTGCTAAAGAAATGTACAGAAAAGTGGACTCTGTAGGAGGCCGCTGTGAACTGCAACAGTTGTAGCTGGTAAAGCAGCTCCTGGTGGGTTTATAATTACATGACTCTGGGAGAAGGAGGCCATTTGTCTCTCTCTGTTTCCACCTCTTTCTTTCTCTGTTTGAAGGGGGTGTTTAGCAGCAGCATGAGTTCCTACTGCACGTGGCCTGAGAGCTTCCTCTCTCTGCACTTTGCCACAAGCTGCTTGCTTCCAATGTGCATTTAAGTCCCTCTTGTTTATGTCAATTACCTTATCAGTATTGCAAGCTCATTCGCAACATACAGCTGCCTGCATGGCATGCTCACGGCAGCTTTATGTTCTCACTAAAACACTTTGAACAATGTGAAACTAATTTGAATGCACAGAAGCAAATCGCACAGTTCTCCATTTCTTTTTTTAAACACTAAAAATGGAAATTATTGGTTACATTAGTGAGCTTTAACTGACTATTTCAGAGTCAAAATAAATCCTTCCCTTAAACACGTATGCCTTGTAACATATTCAAGTCAGACTTGTTTAACGTTGAACTGAGTTTTGACTATTGCTACTTCATATGGATCAAAAAAGGTCCAACAAATAGCTGTTTCAGCTTAAAAATCCACAATTGTACTTAAGAAAAAACCTATAAGTGTGTAAAAAAAATCAATCAAAATCGGCCTTTATTATAGTTTTTCAGAGAGGAGAATTTCAAAACCCACTGAGTCAAAAGGAATCTTTTCAGTCAGGCTTGCTAAAAACAGGAAGTACATCTATATGTGGATGCAATGTCATGTCAATCCCAGTTCAAGCTTAGATCATGATACTCTCCACTGTTAAAGATTGAAAAACAAGACTGTTTGATGGCCAAAACCCCGGCCGAGTGGGTCATTTGCAATATTTCAATTCATTGGTTTGAATACATTTGTTTTTTTCTTGTTTTTTAGACTTGATTCTTGTTCTGGTTATCAACTCTTCCAGTCTTACTTTCAATTTGATTTCTGGACTTTCAATTTTTCCCTCACCAAGATGGCTGCCAGGTTTCAGAGCACCTGAACAGCACTAATTGGACTGCACCCCCAGCTCTTGCTGGACAGGGGAATCTTTTAGTTTTTTTCTGTTCTTTTTGTTTAACTTATGAATGCTGTGTTTACAGTTTAATGGGTTTTCATTTCCTTCTTTGATGTAATTTAGCTTAAAAAAAACTAAACTGTATCGTATTATTTCTTGTGAGGGTTTTTATCAGTGTGTGTGTATGTGTTTATCCTTGTGTGTGTCATTTGTCTGTTTCGTCACATATGTTTCATTTGTGCAATCAGTTGATTTAGTTACATATTTTTGCTGTTAAATCCTGTTTTTTTTAACCTTTTTTTTATGAGCTCAGACTATATTTTTGTAAATTTAACTTTTTGGGTCACAGTAAAAACAGTTATTCTAATGATAGCCGCTAATGCTATACTTCTAGCTCAAATTCAAAGTCATCGTTTGTGGCGTACCGTTTCTTTGGAGGAGCTGGGTGAAAACAACACCTGGATGGACGCCACCAAAGAGTCTGCGGCTTCAAAATGGCAGGGAAGAACACAAATCGCAAGTGAATTCTGAGGTGCCAACATGCTGCCATACAGAAAAAAATAAGGAACGGTTGGGCCTGTAGTAGCAGTACCGCACGTGTGTGTGTGTGGACGCGGTTGCATGCATGTGAAGTTGTGTGCGCGGGCGCACATGCATGTAGGTGTATGTGTGTGTGCGTGCCTTCCTGTGCATGTATCTGTCTGTCTCTCTGTCATAGAAGAAAGAAGTTCTACTGATAGACTGGATATTAATCGTTTAAATGTCAACTAGATACCCGACACAGTGACACCACAGCCAGATCAGACGTTGGGGAAGGAAGGGAAGTCTGTTGCAGAGATGTTGGGAGACTCCCAAGCTGACGCCAAAGAGCAGAAAGTCCTGGAGAACTCAATGGCAAAGTAGATTGGGCCTTCTGGCCTGCCTGCAAGGACCATTGAGGATGAAGACTTTGTGGATATGATGAAACAAGCCGACAAAAGGTTCAATGCGTGCGGTGTGATATATTTTAAAAAAAAAGAGAATCAGTGTGTGGAGAAGTTCTATTCTGTACAGTAAGCTACATATGTCAAAAAGAGAAGCGGTTTTTGGAGAAGTTCTTATTTACAGTGTTGACTAAAACAACAAAAATTACAAAAATTTGACTAAGACTAAAATTGATTTTCGTATTTTAGACTAAGACTAAAAGTGGGAAGGCAATGACTAAATATGACTAAGACTAAAATAGATTTTTGTCATTAAGACTAAGACTAAATAAAAAAAAGCT